GGTCCGGGCAGCCCCGCCTGCAGCGGAGGAGGCGGGGAGGCAGGCCCCTGCCTTCCTTCCCCCGGGCAGTGGGAAAGAGGCCATTGCCTAAATTCTGGCACTTCTTAGTCCCTCCGTGCTGACTGGGGTCCCCAAAGACTCTTAGTTCCTATCTCCACCCTAGCCCAGCCCTCCTGTGTACAGTGACAAGGTGGAGTTTGATAAAGGGGGTCCCAGGCCCACTCTCCTCTTCTCACCCAGTCCTTAGATTTGGGACCCAGGGTAGAGGAAATGCCTCCCCACCAGTCTAGCCAGAAGCTGGCGGCTCTGACGTGCCTCCACCTAGGGCTGGGCTCCAGGGCCCCAGGCCTCTATGGTCACCCAGCTACACGCCCAGGCAGAAGCGGGTTGTCACTCTGAGTGGCTGGGCTAGTCCCTGCATGGGGCCACAAAGCCTCCCCCACCTCTGCCTTCCGGGTCCACAAGTCTGGTCACCCAGCCACCCGGAGTCTGGGCAAAGGCCTCATGAGGCACCGCAAGGCTGGGCTCATGGGATCCCACCCAGCCTGCTACAAGGTGCTGGGGTAGTGACAGCAGCACCCGGCCAGCCCCTCCCCTTGACTGTGAGGCCAAGGGCTGGAAGCAGCAGTGCCCGTTCTCTCTGAGGAGTTAGAGACCTTCAGGGCTGATTCAGAGGCTGGGGTGTTGTCAGGGCATTAGGGCGTTTGAGGGAGTGGCTTATGTGAACTGGCATTTCCATGCTGCCAGGCATCACCGCCAATCCAGAGGAAGCGCCCTCCAGGCCCAGGCTGCCCACAGCGCCAAGGGCTGTGGAAGCAGCCAGGCCCTGTGCTGCCCCCTGGTGGCACCACAGGAAGGCCCCGGGCTCTCAGCGCCACGGCTGGGGCGGAGAGGGCCCGGTTCCCACCTGAGGCTGATGGCCCACAGAGGCAAGTCAAACTCTGTTTAGTCACACCCTCCCCACTCCTAGTCTCCTCTTCCCCTTTCTCTGCCTGGCCCACCCAGGCTTAGCTGAAGAACCAGACCCAGAAAGGCTCAGAGCTGAGAGCACAACTCCAAATCATCTTTTATTAATATAAAAAGGGCATATTTAGCAAAAGACACACAGATAAAAGAGTCACTATGGCTCAGGACACAAGGCAGTGAGGTGCCAGGCCTGAGCCCCTGCTGGGGGAGAAGGAGGCTCGGGACAAAGTGGGAGAAGGGCTGGGAAGGGCTGAGCGGTGGGGACCACAGAAAGTTCCGGGGGGCAACACTGTTGGCAGGTCATGGATGGGACTCATGGGGACCTCGCTGCTAACTCTTGTTGTGGGGGGATGTCCTTAGTGCTGCCACCTGGAGTGAGAGCCGCTCCTTGGTTCCTGGAGGGGACCCACCAAGGGACACAGGACAGGAAGCCCAGGATGGTTAGTGCAACTCGGGATGAAGGCCAGGGAGAAGCGGGTGCTCTGCAGTGGCCGGGAAAGGTCCAGACGCTGAGGCCGGGGCGCTTCCTGTTACGCTTCCTGTTACGTGCGGGCGTTCCGCTCTGTCTCTGCCAGGCACTCTCTGACTAGGGCCCGAGCATGGATGATACCTGGTGGTGGGGTGGGGTCTCAGCAACCCTCCACAGCCCCACCCACTGCCCTCCAGAGGAGGACCCCTGCCTCCCCACTCCCTTTCCCCTTTCAGCAAGAGAAATTCCAAACTAATGACGGCTAGATGAGATTAGAGGTTTGGTTAATCCTCAAGGTTGCCATGTAGAAGTACAAATTCCCAGGCTCTTCCCTGGAAATGGACGCAATTTCAATTCGATTCAAAACACCTCTCTGGGTAGTAATACTGGCCCTCCTCTAGGCTTGGCTCAGGTGGCCTCCGGATGTCTTTCTTTCCCTAATGGAAGATAGTCCAGTGTCGGTTTCCTAAGCAGGGCGGCCTGGCCTCACTTACCTCTCTTCAGGCGCTCCATGGCGCTCTTGCTGCCAGCATAGGTGGGCCGGATCTCTTTGCCCATCTCCTCTATGACTGACAGCAGGTCCGTGTAGGTGCTCTGGGAGCCCTGGGCGCCGGGTGGCTTCATCGCCTATGTCAAAAGAGAACAGGGCAGTGAGCTCAGGCACCTGGCGGGGAGGGGGACTCCAGTCCCCATCCATAAGCAAGCTTTTGGCCCCACTCACCTGCACGTAGCCCATGGAAGGCGGTCCAAAGTCGTTAAACAGCGGTCTAAAAGGAGCGGCGGCTCCTGGCACTGAGCCCGACGGCGACGGGACGCTTCCTGCAGCAACAGGCGCGAGTAAGAGGTCAGCGCGGGGCAGGGACGCCGCCTCCCAGCTTTTCCAAGCCCAGGACCGGGTTCGCCCGATTCCCTCCAAAGGATGCTTCATTCCAGGCTGATCAACTTCAGGGACAAATCCCTCCCACTGCGCTCCACCTACAAGCCCTTACGTGACCACGCCCACTTCACAGGCCAGCAAACTGAGGCTCAGCGAGGGTAGGCGGCAAGCCCAGTATTGCAGAACTCAGGCCGTCTTCTCTTCGAGACCTCGACCGCCCGGCAGGCGAGCAGGGGTGGAGCTGGATCCTCACCTGTAGGGACCGGGGTGCCCGGCCCAGGGGTGCTGGAGCCAGGGGTGCTGCTGGGGGCAGGGGCGATGGGTTTGTAGGACATCCCCAACTCCTGGGCGCGGCGGACGCCAGCCGGCCGCTCCTCGGGGGTTGGCTGCCGGGCCGCTCAGCCGCGCTCTGATTGGCAAGCGGGCTGCACGCCCCTGGTAAATAGAGGTCTGGCCGGAAGGGCGAGCGGGCACGAATGCTCCCTCACTCCCGATTGGTGGGCGAAGATGTCACTCGAGCCTCCTTATTGGCCGAGACCTGCCCCAGCAGGTCGCAACCGCCGCCGATTGGCCTCCGCCTTCCGGACCTCGCACCTGTCTGCTCCGGATTGGGCGGTGGCCACCGCCCTCCGCAATTGGCGAGTTCGCGGCCCGGGCCGGCGCGCTTTCAATCCGATTAGTCCCCAGGCCCTAGAGGCGGGGCCTCGGGAACCCGGACCCGGGGCTGGGCCGCCGGTTCGCGCCGAGGGGGTCTTCCCGGGCGCGGGCGCCACCCTCGCGCCTCACTAGCGCTGCTTCAGACGTCTGCTCCGCTCTGCCCAGTTTCGGCCCAGCAGGGGTTGCTGTCGCCGCTGCCGTGGCCGCTGTCACTGCTGCCGTGCGCGCTTCTCCGCTCCGGGGGCCGAAGGACGCAGGGCTTTGACGTCCCGAGCCCCGCGCCCCACCCCGTGCGCTTTTACGTCACCTTTCACCGGTTCAACACCCTCTCCCCGATCTGCGCATGCGCCCGCCCGAGGCCTGCGTTTGTTCCCATGGCAACGGGCCCTTCATCTATGCCGCCGCGCACCGTTCTTCCTGCGGCTTGGCTTGTCCTCAGGTCCAAGGGCGACCTCAAGGACCCCTTTGCCCTCACCCCCAAGGCCCCGCGCCGCTGCCTCAGTTGGTGATAATGGCCGTAGGGCAAACAGGGATTACTTGTGTGCCGGGCCCCGGACCGAATTGGTCAAGAGCACAGACTGGAGCCAACCGCCTGGGTTCGAATCTCAGTACCACCCCCACTAGCGATTTCCCCCAGGCAAGTTTCTCACCTCAGTATGCCTCAGTTTCCCCATCCGTAAAATGGGGGAAATGACAATCTCATTGGGTTGTGTGGATTAAATGAATAGTCATAAAGAGCTTCCTGTCCCACTCCAGGGCCCCCATACCTTTCCACTCCACCACTCAGACCCCTCCCCTCAAATCTCATTCGCCATAAACTTAGACCTCAGACCCTCCTCCACTCACTAACCCTTTCTCCCAGGCTCCTTCCCTAAACTCAGACTTCTCTGGCCTTGTGTACCTTCATGCTCCCAGCTTTGTAGATCTTCATCTCCAGGACAGTCATTCATTCATTCATTCATTCATTCATTCATCCATCCATCCAACAAACATGTTCTGGCCCGGCGCGGTGGCTCACGCCTGTAATCCCAGCACTTTGAGAGGCCGAGGCAGGCTGATCACGAGGTCAAGAGTTCGACCTCGTGATCGAACATGGTGAAACCCCCTGTCTCTACTAAAAATATAAAAATTAGCTGGGCGTGGTGGTGGGCACCTGTAATCCCAGCTATTCGGGAGGCTGAGGCAGGAGAATCGTTCAAACAGAAGTTGCAATGAGCCGAGATCGTGCCATTGCATTCCAGCCTGGGTGACAGGGCAAGTCTCCGTCTCAAACAAAAACAAAAACAAAACAAAACCCAAGAAACCACACAAAAACCATGTTCTGACTCCCTCCTCCTCCATCTCATGCTTTGTACTGAACCCTGAGGTTAAAGAAATGAACAGGCCATGGCCTCTGTACTCAAGGAGGCCTTATTCTCTGAGACAGTGAAGCAACATCTTCCTTACATTGCAGTAAGTCAGTGGCCACAAGGGAGAACGGGACAGGGTTCACTGGAACTTAGAGGAAGGGCCTGCCGGGTGGCATCACAGAAATATCTCCAGAGCAGGTGGCATTCGAGTAGGTGAGGGTGGAAGCAGAGACCGAGGGGACACTCCAGGTAGAAGGACTGGCATGTGCAAAATCTTAGGAAATGGGAGAGCACAACATGTACTTGAGAACCAGCCTTTTTCTTTCCTTTTTTTTCTGCTGGAGAGTTCACTGGGAAGTGAAGGTGGAGCCGTGGACATAACCGCAGGGGCAGGAAGGGCACCTTAGGTGACCTGGATGTAAGGAAGCTGAGTTGACCACGGAGTCCAGTGCTTCCCTAACTCCAGCCATTAGGAAAACTCCATCAGTTTTGCCATCTATTTAATATTTCCTTTTAATTAATTCACTTTTAAAAATCTTAAATGGAAAGGAAAAGGAATAATGTCCATTTAATCGTGTGCTCACTATTTATAGTTTTCTAATACATATTCAAACTGAACTACTGTTGAAAAGGTGTTGATTAGGTCACCCAAGGTCTTCTGCTCCTACCGGTGGCACTGAGGGTGCATGCCAGAGAAATCTGCTGTGGATAGTAGGTGAAGAGGAGACACTGAAAGTTACACCTTCTTTGGGAACCACCAAGCCCCAACTCCCTCTGTTACAGGAAATGGGTCTGGATCCATATCCCACTAGAGGGTTCTTGGATCTTGCACAAGAAATAATTTAGGGGCCGGGCGCGGTGGCTCAAGCCTGTAATCCCAGCACTTTGGGAGGCCGAGACGGGCGGATCAAGAGACCAGGAGATTGAGACCATCCTAACACGGTGAAAACCCGTCTCTACTAAAAAAATACAAAAAACTAGCCGGTCGAGGTGGCGGGCGCCTGTAGTCCCAGCTACTTGGGAGGCTGAGGCAGGAGAATGGCGGGAACCCGGGAGGCGGAGCTTGCAGTGAGCTGAGATCGGGCCACTGCGCTCCAGCCTGGGTGACAGAGCGAGACTCCGCCTCAAAAAAAAAAAAAAAAAAAGAAATAATTTAGGGCGAGTCCACAGAGTAAAGTGAAAACAAGTTTATTAAGAAAGTAAAGGAATAAAAGAATGGCTACTCCATAGACAGAGCAGCCCTAAGGGCTACTGGTTGCCCATTTTTCTGATTATTTCTTGATGATATGCTAAACAAGGGATGGATTATTCATGCCTCCCCTTTTTAGATCATATAGGGTAACTTCCTGACATTGCCATGGCATCAGTTTACAGATGGGAGTGTAGCAGCGAGGACAACCAGAGGTCACTCTCATCACCATCTTGGTTTTGGTGGGTTTTAGCTGGCCTCTTTACTGCAACCTATTTTATCAGCACGGTATTTATGACCTGTGTCTTGTGCTGACCTCCTGTCTCGTCCTATGACTTAGAATACCTTAACCATCTGCAGCCCAGTAGGTCTCAGCCTCATTTTACCCAGCTCCTATTCAAGATGGAGTTGCTCTGGTTCAAACGCCTCTGACATTTCCACACCTTAGACCTTCCTACTTTCTCCACTGCCCATCATATTAGTCACTGCAGCCTTGACCTCCTGGGCTCAAACAATCCTCTTGCCTCAACCTCTCAAAGCGCTGGGATTACAGGCAAGAGCCACTGGCCTAATTCCACAAACAAAACAAAATGCCATAGACTGGGTAGCTTAAACAACTAAAATTTATTTTCTCATGGTTCTGGAGGCTGCAAGTTTGAGATCAGGATGCTAGCACAGTTGGTTTCTGGTGAGGGCTCTCTTCCTGGCTTGTAAATAGCCACCTTCTGGCTCTGTCTTCATATGTGCTCCTTGGTGCAGAGAGAAAGAACAAGCTTTCTAATAGCTCTTCTTATAAGTGCATCAATCCTGGAAGCTGGGCAGGAGGTGCAAGACTGTAATCTCAGCTACTTGGGAGACTCACATGGAAGACTTGATTGAGCCTAGGAGTTTGAGTCCAGCCTGGGCAACATAGTGAGATCCCACATCTAAAAAACAGAAGGGCCAGGCTTGGTGGCTAACTCCTGTAATCCCAGCGCACTGGGAAGCTGAGGTGGGAGGATTGCTTCAAGACCAGCCTGGGCAACATAGTGAGACCCTGTCTCTACAAAAAATACAAAAATTAGCTGGGTGTGCTGGCAGATGCCTGTAGTCCCAGTTACTTGGGAGGCTGTGGTGGGAGGATCGCTTGAGCCCAGGAGGTTGAGGCTGCAGTGAGCCTTGATTGTGCAACTGTACTCCAGCCTGGGCAACAGAGCAAGACCCTAGCTCAAAAAAAAAAAAAGTGAAAAAACGAAAAAAAAGGACACTAATCCTATCAAATCAGAGCCCTACCCTTATGGCCTCATTTAACCTGAATTACTTCCTTAGAGGCCTATCTCCAAACACAGCCACACTAGGAGTTAGGCTTCAGCATATGAATTTTGGGGAGACACAAACATTTAGTCCATAACACCTATGTTTGGGGGAAGGGATTTGCTTGGGAGGTGCCTGAGGAGTTTAATCTTGAATTTATTTATTTATTTATTTATTTTTGAGACAGGGTCTTACCCTGTCACCCAGGTTTGAGTGCAGTGGTGCAAACATGGCTCACTGCAGTCTTGACCTCCTGGGCTCAAGGAATCCTCCTGCCTCAGCCTCCCAAAGTGCTGGGATTACAGGCGGGAACCACTGGCTTGGCCCTACAGCAGTTTCAGATGTCCCTCCTCCTTGGAGCAGTGGGCTATGGCAGGAGGGGCACAGAGTTCTCTGAGAGGGATGGGTGGTAACAACTGTGGCCTATCTTAGAGAGAGGACTCTGTCTAACTCGAGGGAAGGTAGCACAGGTTCCTTGGTACAACGCTTCAGGGGCTCCCCTCTGGTCTCAGCCCTCGGACCCAGAGCTCATCCCCTGGATTTTGCAGCCTTTAACCATTGCAACCTCCAAATCAGAAGTTGCAAAGTGGGGCCCACCCATCTATGGGCTAAATTCAGCCCATAGATGGGCTCTCGTTGGCTTGCCTAGTGAATTAAAACTTCATTTTAGTGACCAGCATTGTATTTCTATACAATCCTTTCAACTTTTTTCGTATGTTTGAAAGTTTTTTATTTTGAGACGGTAGACTTGCTGTGTCGCCCAGGCTAGAGTGTAGTGCCTTGATCTCGGCTTACTGCAACCTCTGCCCCCTTGGGTTCAAGCGATTCTTGTGCTTCAGCCTCCGGAGTAGCTGGGACTACAGGCGTGTGCCACCACACCTGGCTAATTTTTGTATTTTTAGTAGAGATGGGGTTCGCCATGTTGGCCAGGATAGTCTTGAACTCCTGACCTCAGGTGATCCACCTGCCTTGGCTTCCAAAGTGTTGGGATTACAGGCGTGAGCCATGGCGACCAGCCAATTTATTTATTTATTTAGAGATGGAGTCTTGCTCTGTCACCCAGGCTGGAGTGCAGTGGCGAGATCTCGGCTCCCTACAACCTCAACCACCTGGGTTCAAGCGATTCACCTGCCTCAGCCCCCCGAGTAGCTGGGATTACAGGTGTGCACCACCACGCCTGGCTAATTTTTTTGTATTTTTAGTAGAGTCAGGTTTTCACCATGTTGGCCAGGCTGGTCCCAAACTCCTGGCCTCAAGCGATTCACCTGCCTCAGCCCCCCGAGTAGCTGGGATTACAGGTGTGCACCACCACGCCTGGCTAATTTTTTTGTATTTTTAGTAGAGTCAGGTTTTCACCATGTTGGCCAGGCTGGTCTGGAACTCCTGATCTCAAGTGATCCACCCGCCTTGGCCTCCCAAAGTGCTGGGATTGCAGGTGTGGAGCCACCATGCTAGGCCTGTTTGAAAAGTTTTGCAATAAAATGTTGA